AGAAATTACATATAAATAAATATAAAACTATTTCAAACAAATATAAAGTAAAGAAAACATTTATAAATAGCAGAATTGTGCATTTTTTTCCCTATTTTACAAAATATAAATGAAAATAAATCTTTCTACATTTTAAGAAATATTTTTTTTAAATGGTTTAACTTTTTTTGTTTAAATAGTTTTTAACAACAATATTCATTTTAAACAAACAAAATGTTTAATTATTTAGTTTAGCAAAAAAAAATACAAAATCAAAAATTCAACAAGAATAATATACACTCAAAATAACTTTATACATTTTGACAGAAAAAAGAAAAAAAATAATACTAGTATTAAGAAATACAGCAATAACATTAATGTCCAGCAGTTCAGCAAAAAAGTCTGAGGAAAAAAAAGTCTAGGTTCTCCAAAAAGTCATAGAATGCTTTCCAAATAGAATAGGTTATCTTTTCTAAGGCAAGGCAAGAGGCCACCCCGTTTTTCCACTGAGATACACCAGGACTGTCTTCTATTTTCCAAGAACACACAATTACTGTACATGTTTAGTTTTCAGCAAACATAAAATTAACAACAGTCTTTCATATCTAGTCACATTTAAGTTCAATGGACAAATATGCAATATACACAAGCTGGGATCAAGCGGAATTCATTTACCAATGATTTGACAATATTCAGTATTTTAACTCAAAAACAACTGACTTTATTACACTCCCACATACAATGAAATAAAGTTCCCTTCTCTTGTTTACATTTATAGCATGTATGAGGGATATAGTTTAAATAATATATTTTACAAAAACATTGTGCATCTTTATTTAAATATACTTATACACAGAGTTATTAAAGCATATTTAGTGATTGATCTGTAAATAAAACACACACATTTTTCCTTAAATTCCACTTTGAGCAATGGTGTGTTTACTAGCATCGACAAGCAGTCAATACATCACTGCTTCCTTCACACATCAGACACAAAGACTCCTCAGAGATGGAGTCTAAAATCAGCATAGTCGACTAAAGCAGCCTGAAGACATCAGCTCTTTAAATTCTTCAAGCCTCTGTCTGAAAGACAAGGATAAAGACTTGCTGTCAAGGCTCTAAGTAGCCGCAGGTCTGTCTGTTCTTCTGTTCAGATGCAGAACAGGGAGAGCTTTGGGAACATTAGTGCAATAGCTTGGTGCTAGAATTGTCCTGTCCATCCAAAACCATTTCACCCACACTGATAATAAATCATCACCATTTCTGCACACTACTTCTACTTTTATTCTACTTTTCTTCAACCTGGAGTCACTTTATTTTTCCTGCCTATGGGAATTAGAAAAATCAGTCCTGTGATTCCTCTCCAATCAAATCACACATAGAAGGTAAATCACATCATAATGAACTACCTCAACACATGGCGATTTACAATTGCAGCAACTGTTTGGGAGCATTAAAAGTGTCCATTAAAATAAGATCTTAAAAATAAAATCTTTACACGCATTGTCCCAGAGACTGTTTAGAATGACCGAAATGGCCTTAAACACCCAGCAGGCACAAGACATCAACGTGACGTTAGCTTGACATTGTACCCTAACGTCATGGGGACGTTGTGTTTTGTTTGCAAATAAAAATCTGTTTGATGTCAAAACTCAACATCAGGCCGACATTAATGTCCAACATCCAACCTAAAATTAACCAAATATCAACGTCTAATGATGTTACATCTTGATGTTATGTGGACGTTACCAATATGACGTCTATCAGATGTTGGATTTTGGTTACCATACTTGACGAATAAATGTCAGTATCTGACGTCAATATGATTTAAGATTTTGGATCGACATTGGATTTTGGTCACTTTCCAACACAACCTAAAATCAACCAAATATCAACATCATTTAATGTTGTTATTGGTGATCAAAGTAACGTTGTCCTTAGACACTGGCTAGATATTGAATTTTATTCACCTGATGTCATCTGACATTTTTTTTCAGTGCATCTTGAACAAAAATTCTTTTTTGTTTACAATCTTATTTTATTCCATTCAATACAAGTCCTTGCGAAAGAATCTCTTGTCGCCATCTAATCGTATAACAATTAAACCTGCATTAAGCCAACATTCATTATTAAAGGGGGCCTATTGTGTGGCAACAACCAGACAGCCCTAAGTGAGAAGCAGCCATCCGCTATTAGAGCTTCTGTACCATACTGGCCAAACATAATGTCAGCAACAAAGAGGCATTAAAAATCTGGTGTTTAATGATGCACTGCTGAGCCACTTCTTTTGACATTTTTAGTTTATCACAGGGATAACCGTTTTGAATCTACCTCTACGTTAGCACATAGAGCTTTTGTGGGCTACTTCGAGCTGAAACTTTACATACACACTCTAGGGACATCAGAAACTTATTTTACATCTTGTAAAAAGGGACATAATAGGTCCACTTTAATACTATGGAAATATCTAATCAATTCCATGTGCGTTAAATAAAAAGTTCAGAAGAGGCTTTTCTTTAAAAATATTAGTAATTTATTAGATTGACATTGGTTTAAGATGTTGCATCAACGCTGGATTTTGGTCACTTTCCAACACAACCTAAAATCAACCAAATATCATCATTAGATTTGTTATCACTGATTAGCTTTTTATAGCGTAATACTCACTACTCTTGAGTACTTTTTAAAAGGGCTACTTCTTACTCATACCTTGAGTAATATTTACAACAGATACTTTTACTCTCCTTGCCCTACATTTTTAAGCAAGTAATGCTACTTTTACTCAAGAATGATTTTTCAGTACTCTTTCCACCACTGCTTAAACATATCAAATAACCCCATTCAGTGAGCCTAGCTCCAACACTACAAAAATTATGTTTGCTGCTTGTGCAACTTATTTAAAATGAGCTGAAACAGCACGATCCTTGAGTTGTTTTTTTTTTTTTTTTTTTTTTTTTGGACAACTTGATTGTTATATGTTCAATCAGTTTGAATTTGTAAAAACTACTAAGCTAACCTAATTCCTTCATGTTGTCCCAACACAACTCCATTGTGTGGAACCTAGTATTTTTTACAGTGCTGTACTGTAAAATAAAGTGCTACCAACAATATTGTATCACACGGTTACAGAAAACATATCAACATGCTTCTTACTACAGACAAAACAAAACTAGAAGACAGATTACACAATCAAATCTTATAAAATAAAAAAATATATATATTTAATCCTAATTTAGAATTTTCAATCTCCATGTTCAATCCTTTACTTCCACTGTATCTGTTCAGCTGAGTAAACGGAACCAACCCCATGACGTCAGACACAGCGACATTCCAAGATGGCGGCGCCCTAGGTCTAAAATCTATAGTAAAACATGCCGTTTTCTTCTATATGATTACATTAATCGAGTTTAATATATTTTAATTAAAGTGGATTCCATTGTACAAAATAAGGTAAACTTAAGTGAGTGCTTAATTTTCCCTTTAAACCTGCATCAAGCCAACAATCATTAGTAAAGAGAGCCTATGAACAAAACTATAAGGCATAGATTATATAATCATATCTTAATAAACGAGAAAATATACATTTAATCTTTTTTTTAAACGTTTCTAAAACACATCTCATCTTATTCCAAGGTTTAAAAAATGAGACAGAACAGACACAACAGCCCTTATTGGAACAGAGTTCATATATCCAGCAGCAGGAGCAAATGAGCTGCTATAGATATGCATGTCAGTGGATGAATATAAACTAGAGTGTTCTCAGATGGATATAGGCTGTAATTTCCTTTGACGCTACGAAATGGACAGTCTGTGTAGGTACAGAATGCACCTGTAATTGGATTAGTGTGTAACCAGAGGAAGGTAACAGGCAGCAGGTGTTGGCATTAGAGCGTCCTGCTCTGATGTCATCAGATGAGTTGGCAGACAGGAAGTGATGCGCCACCTGCCCACCACCAGTGACCCAGCACAATTTCTGCATGTGTTTACAGAGGACTCATCTAAAATGCTCATCGCTAAATCAGGCGTGAATTAAAGTGATAATTTCATCAAGGCCTGCAGAAAAGAGCTTATTATTTTTTAGAGATTGGGTATAAATTTGCAGGTATATTCATTTTTACATAGCAGTATCTTAGAAATAAACAAATATTCACAAACAATATTGATAGAATTTATCTGACTTTAGATTTAGTTTACGTAGTAATATAATATACAGTTAAAGTCAGAATTGTTAGTCCCCCTTTGAATTTCTTTTTATTTTTTTAATATTATAAGAGTGGACAGGCAGGGGTCGAAAACCAGCATAAACAGTCTAGTAAATGATCCAAGAGTGTATTCCAAAATCAGGAGAAAGGTTCAGGGCAGGCACCAAAGTCAAAAACACAATAAACAGGAAACAAGGAAAATGCTTACATAAAGGCAGCAACAGCTAAACAATACTCAGCCAAGTCTGTGTGTCTGTGTGTTGTATAAATAGTCCAACTAATCAATCTTTAAGCAGCTTCAGCTGTGTGAGTGTAATCAAACAGGATCAGGAACTGGTGTGTGTGGTGCATGACTGGAGCTTGTAGTCCATATAATGGTGGATTTATAGTTTTATGTGATCTGTGCAGCTGCTCGATCTCTGGTTATCATAAGTATGAAATAATATAATATAATATAATATAATATAATATAATATAATATAATATAATATAATATAATATAATATAATATAATATAATATAATATAATGCATATTGTCTCCATGGTCGTTTGTGAGCATATCTTACATATAAAATAACCTATACATGTATATCATATTGATATATCATATCTCATATGGCAATAAAGTGTATATCTTTAATATGCACATTTGTGTTTTTTTATTTTTTATTTATGCACATGTTGGTTCTATTCAGTGTTTTTTTTTATTTTTATGCAATATCATAAAAACACATCTCGCGCAAACATAAGTGTATAAAAAAACACATTAGCTAATCCCCAGGTTTCTCATGAACTCTTTCTTTCTGTCTTTCTCACAGTACAAGCAAGTGGAGCAGTACATGTCCTTCCACAAGCTGCCTGCCGACATGCGTCAGAAAATCCACGATTATTATGAACATCGTTACCAGGGGAAGATATTTGATGAAGACAGCATCCTTAACGAGCTCAACGACCCGCTCAAAGAGGTGAGACTGTTATATATTCAGCTGAAACGACCACCGGCGCATCCGAACGCAAGTATCTCAGAAAATAAGTGCTGATCCAGGATTATCTCTCTGTCTGGATGCATAATCCTTTTCATTTAGATATGACTGGAAACATCTTATCGTAGAGCTTCATAAGCACTCGTTTTTTCATGTACAGTTGTTTAAGCCCTAGTAAACTCTGGCAGAGTTACTGTATCAGTAATGTGTCAGTTTATTGGTAGTTTATTTTATATTGACCTACAAAAAGGTGGTATCAGCCCTAAAACAACCACTGCTGATTTAAATAGACATTTTTTACATCATAATGTAGATTTAAGATGTTTTCAGAATTTTGTTACATTAAAGTCATGCGATATAGAGCAAGAGCAATGGTATTGTTATAGAATGAAAATGTAAATAATAATAATAATAATAGTAATAATTAAATGGTATTATAATATAATACATCATCATACTATACATAGTAATTAAGGCCACTTAATAAATAGTTTTTAGGTGAGACCAAAAAAATCATACAAAAATGGATTTCAAAGAAATGTACTACTACTACTACTACTACTACTACTAATAATAATAATAATAATTAATAATTAATAATTAATAATTAATAATTAATAATTAATAATTAATAATTAATAATAATTAATAATAATTAATAATAATAATAATAATAATTATAAGTAATTTGTAAAATATTTATTTGAGAGAAAAAAAATCGACAGAGGTATAATGTAATAATCAAATACACCCTCAAACAAGTTTTGGTTATTGAGATTTTGCAAGCTTTACAGTATTGTTTTAATTTTGTTTTTATTTTATTTTTTAAGATGAAAATATCTCCGGTGCTACTTAAGCCAATTTATTTGACAAAAAATAAAGTAATATAGTGGAACAAAAATATTACAATTTTAACTAACTATATTCATATCACAACATATTTTCAACTTGAATTTATTCCTGTGATTGAAAGATGAATTTATTAGCATCATTGTTGACATGATCCTTCAGAAATCAGTCTAAAATGCTGATTTTTTTTTTTATCAGGATACAGATTTCATACAGAAGCTAGTGTATGATCAACAATAAGAAATGTGTCAAAATGGCCCAGAATCAAACACCCATGTCATCACAATTAAAATGAGCTTCTACACTCAAAAAAATTAAATTTTCATTTAAACTACTTATTTAAAATGAGCTGAAACAACGCAATTATTGAGGGTTTTTTGGGACAGCTTAATTGTTCTATGTTCAATCCACTTAAATTTGTAAAAACTAATAAGATAACTTAATTTCTTAATGTTGTCCCAACACAAATGTTTTTTGTGGAACCCAGCTTTTTTTATGACACAGCGAAATGAAAGCCAACACTGCTTCTTTCTTCCTCCCCAAAACACCTTTACCTCTCTCTATCTCTCCTCCTCCTTTATCTCTTTCTCTCTCTCTCTCTCTCTCTGTGTCCCTCAGTTGGTCAGAGCTGCTATTTTTACATGCACCGCCTTGTGACAAACCAGCTTTAAATAGATAAAGTCTCCAGCTTGTCTCCCCGGTGGAGGTAAAGGGTTGGACGTGGCCATCAAACTCATTATTCCTCCTGTGAGATTGCGGTCAAAACCTTCCTGACGCGTTTTTTCCCCATTTAAAACACAGTTTAAATGTGATCTTCACAGCAAACAAATACAGCGTTCAGACGAGCAGCAATGAATATATTGCGCATCAGGCCTTCAGTTAATGGCTGAAGTGAGATCGACACTCAATGTACAGGAAAATAACTAGAAAAAAAAAAAAGATCACCGCAATGCAGTGGGAGAGAGACTTGAGAGGCTTTACATTGTCGCAGAGGAGCATGAAGAAAAAAGTTTGGAAAAAAAACATTTTTCAAGGTTTGATATCCATATTGTTGTAACAGTAATTTAGATTTTAAGTATAATAATAATAATAATAATAATAATAAAAATAATAATAAAAAAATAATAGTAATAATAATAATAGTAATAACACAGCTGTTAGGATTTTTAAATATTTAAAATTATAATATTAATTTTAATGATAATTATTTACTAAAAATATGGTATTTTTAATGAACTACAACTCCCAGAACTCTTTGCACCCATCCACCCCTGCAACAGCTGAAAATAATTTAGACATTCACACACAGACACAGCTGTATCTCATTTTCACTGATTACATGCATCTTTTGTTACAAAGTGGATGCTGACAACAGACATGTGGATCCAAATGCAGTCCATTAAAGGACAGGTCGAATAGGCAAAGGTTAAAAATAAAAAAACTGGAGCAAAACAATAGCATAAAGGTAATCCAATAAACATAGGGATGGCTGACGTTTCGACACAGTGTCGAGATCCCAAAGTGCAAAATGCACCGAAGCATGATTTGAAACACTCAGGTCACATGACAAAGGTGTTTCGAAACACACAGGTCATGTGACTAAGGTGTTTCGAAACACACTGGTGAGGTGCTTAAAGTTACTGTGCTGCAAATGACTTGTCAAATATTCTAAAATTGTGATAATGTATTTTAATAAAAGCACTGTTTTATGACCAAAACAAGACATATTTATTCCCGAAGTGTTCATTCGGATGTCAGACCAATGTTAAAACAAAACATGTTTCAAGAACAGAGCATTTAAAAACAACCATCTATATCTGCATCTCCCTGGATTCGAACCGATTATCCCCACATACTACTCTGTCAGTAAATCACTTGAAATTTCAACTCTAAAACGTGGGGTTTAATACCTCAAGTCAACTGTTTCTTTGCTGAAGGCGTACCAGAACAATACATAAAAATGACCACTAGGTAGGAATAGGCTGAGGTTTTGAAACGTCTCGAAGCTTCTACACATTTGCTTTAACTGTTTCAGTGTTTTATGAAGCCTTGCTTTGCCCACCACTAAATAAACATGTTCAAAAAAGCAGGTTAAAGGTCAAACTAGTCAGCAAAGAATCAAAACGCTGAACTAAAAAGAAAACCGCTTCGTAATGTTCATTAAAGAAACAAGACTCGGCAATGTGGATGTGAAAGTTAGGTGTATACATATAGGCCAAGTAATCAGTGAAAATGAGCTACAGCTGTGTCTCTGTGTGAATGTCTGGATTACTGTCAGCTGTTACAGGGGTTGATGGGTGCAAAGTGTTCTGGGAGTTGTAGTTCATTAAAAACTTCAGAAGTAATCTCCAGCAGAGAGAATACTGATGACAATCAAAACAAATGTTATATAATGGAATTATTTTATTTCTATTTTATTATTGTTATTTTTAATGTAATTATAAAATGTAAAAAATGTAACTAATTGAATAAAATAAATAAGTAAAATAAAAAAATAGTAAATTGTGTTCTTTAATTGTGTTAACTTTTTTAGATTTAAAAAATAATAATTAATAAATAATATTTTCTTTTTAATTATATATATTTTAAAAACATTTGTCAAGTACTGTTTGAAGGACAATGTTTTCAACAAAGTTTTTGGTGAAAAAAAAATAAATAAAAATGTTTAATTTTTTTTATTTTAAGGGGCCTAATAATGTTGACCCTAAACTTGTTTAAAAAAACTGTTGTTATTCAAACCAAACTAACATAAGTGAGACTTTCCCCAGAAGAAAAAATATTATAGGAACTACTGTGAAAATTTCCCAAATCATCATTTGAAAAATATTTGAAAAAGAAAAAAAAATTGCACATGAGGGCTAATAATTTTGACTTCAACACTCTCTATACATGGCCTGGAATGCATTTTAAAACTACTAAATTAATGTTTCTTGTTTGTGTGTTTTTCCTCAGGAAATTGTGAACTTCAATTGCCGTAAGCTGGTGGCCACGATGCCTCTGTTTGCGAACGCGGACCCAAACTTTGTGACAGGAATGTTGAGCAAACTGAAGTTTGAGGTCTTCCAGCCCAACGATTACATTATTCGTGAGGGAACCGTGGGGAAAAAGATGTACTTCATACAGCACGGAGTGGCCAGTGTCATTACCAAATTCAACAAAGAGCTCAAACTCACTGACGGATCCTACTTTGGAGGTTAGTTTGACAAACGACAATATTTTTGACTGTTAATTCTTTTGTGTTCTTTGTGTTAAAAAAATCTGTTTTGGACCACTGAGTCTGAGTAAATGTAGAGTACTTTCATTTTTTTTTGCGTGAATTATCCCTGTAAGGCAAAACAATGCAGTTGGAAGTACAGAACATCATGTTGTACGGAAATCAAGCACAAAAGACCAACTTAGAGTCGAGTACAGCCACACAGTGTTTTATAATTCACAGATTATGTCACTTGCGACCTTGGTGACATGTTATCTAATGTTACCTAAGCTGTTCAAATGTAGGAATAAAACCTGAAATGTTTTTTCCCCCCTCACGATTCATGAAGGTTGTGCCTGCTCTAGCACGGGCACACTGTGATGCCAGCCACCTGCTCCAGTGGAAAAACCATCTGCTGGTGGTATTTTGGCCTGTGGCAGAAGTGCTGCTGGCGTGTGTGCGTTTGTACACGGGGGCGAACGTGTGTCGAAGCTGCTGGCAGTGTCAGAAAATCTCTTCCTCCTCACTGCGCTCTGATACGAATTCAACGCACACTGACCTTGCTCCTAAATTCAATGGAGATCATATAAAAGCACGTAATGTAGGACAAGCTAATTTACACACGTATTTATCGGCATTTAAACGTAGATGCAGTAGGATTTTCACTGACCTCTACCAATGGTGAAATAAAAATAATAATAAATAATAAAAAACAGGGAGGCCAGTGTCTGAATAACGCTGATATTTGTAAATAAAATTTATATTAAAAAAATATTCACTTATATTCACTTACTAATAATAATAATAATAATAATAATAATAATAATAATACATATATAAAAATAATTACTATTATTATCAGTATTAAAAATGCTATAACATTTTTAATAACCAGTGTTGGGTAAGTTAGTTTGAAAAAGTAATAGATTACAAATTACTGACTACTATTGGAAAATTGTAATTACAATACAAATTAATTAATGTAAAAAGTAATCAGATTACTTATTACTTTACATTAAAGTTGCTTTTTAACATATAAAACCTATAGAAATACAAAATAAACTGCAGCTTTTTCAGTAAGTTAATATTCACTGAGGAACGCTACTATGGGTTGATCACAGCAGCTAGACATATTCTAAAGACTTAACCCTTTTAAAGTCTTAAAGTGTACCTTATAGGTTCTGTAGGTTGCTGTAATTAATTGTTGTGGTTCCTGCACATCAGTAATCATAGGAAAAAATAAAAATGTCTCAATCACAATCTATGCAAAAGTTATTCTATTCCAACTGATGAGAGAACGGAACCACTTATGGTGGTATTGGGCCAGTACGGACCTTTAAAATTTAAAGAGATAGTTGAAATAGAAACTTAAAATTCTCTCATCATTTACTCCTCCATTGGAAACTTACAAGTGCAAAAGGTGCAATATACTGTATGAACAGCTCTATCAGCAGCTACGCTTCACATTCAAAAGATACCTTTACTCCTGATTTTGCATGATAATCCAATTTAGCCTGTTTAGGGTGAGTTGATACTTTTTTGGGTGCCGAGTATTGTCATAGAATGCTTTCTGTTCAAGTTGCTGGTCGAGCAGTGGAAAGTTCTTTAGAGACTGGACTGCATTTCACAGTGATATTTTAGTTTTTAAGCTCAATGAAATTAAAGTAATGTCTGTATTTCCACTCGAAGAAGCAAACATGCTCGTCTGCATCTATCACTATTTCAGCTCACGTTCTTCAGCAATTTATGCATATTAACTGACGTTGCAGCAGAAAGCATGAAGTAAAAGAAGCAAGTTTTACTTCTAAAAATTATATTTGTAACCAAAGTAATGCAATTACATTGATTTTAGTAACTTTAATTAAATTACACAAATTTGAAATGTAATTTGTTACATTACTGCATTCCCCAAAAATGTAATCAGAATACAGTAAAATAATAATAATACAAAGAAAAAATTAAGAATACATACATATGAAAATAAATAAATACAATTAGCAAAGCATTTTTAATACTGAAAATAATAATAATAATAATAATAATAATAATAATAATAATAACAAACAAACAGGTTATTATATTTATTATGAATATAACAATTCAGAGTATGTTCAAAAAATTTATAAAACAAATAAATTCAAAGTAATAAAAATAGAAATATTGTTACTACTTTTACTATGATTATAAAAATACAACTAATTGTATTATTTACAAAACATTATACAATTAAATGAATGTATTTATTATTAATATTATTATTTTAAAATACACAATAATAATAATAGTAGTAGTAGTAATAATAATAATAATAATACAAGAAGAATAACAATACACACTTATGAAATTAATAAATACAATTAGCAAAGCTTTTTAATACTGATAATTATAACCAAAAATGCTATTGTTAATATTATTATTAATATTATAATTATTATTACAAATAAAATGATTCTGATTATGTTCAAATAATTTGCTGTTAGTATTAAATTTAAAATATAAACAATTTTATATTGTTACTAATATTTTACTATGATTATAAAAATGCAACTAATTGTGTTATTTACAAAACACTACACAATAAAATGAATGTATTTATTATTAATGATACTATTATTTAACTAATAATAATAATAATAATAATAATAATAATAACAACAGCACAATGACTTTATATTTTTTATTACTATTATATTTATTATTTAGGTATGCATTTATGTTATATTAAAACTGCAAACACAAAAACCAACTATATTTTATAACATTATAATATATTATTATTATTATTATTATTATTATCATCATCATCAACAAATCTAATTCAGCTAAAAAAAATCAATTTCTTGTATTTTAACACACATGAAGTAGTTAAAAGTGTAGTTCTGGCAGCGTGCCGTGAGGTGAGGGTCGGTTAGGGTGATGCGCTTGATCACAATAAATCAGGCAAGCCTCGTTTGTAAGCTCACAGCTGGGACTCGAGCCAAATTGACGGACTTCCAGGACTCTGAGGTCAAGAGTCATGTCCATTTGCAGAAGCTGAGAGCAGCTCAGCGCTGATTGGACACCCTTTCGCAAGGGTGAAAGAGAAACACCTTCACACATTCGCTAGTTTAGCCGCTAACTCATCCAGGCACTCGTCCACTGTTGGCAGTCCGCCACAAACATTCATAGTATGAGATGTACCGATCGACCAGCCAAAAATCCTTTTTTTCTGTTGTATTTCGGCTAATCTCTGCTGTGAACTTGCATGCAAACTGCAAGTAATTTTATAGTAGTAAGGGTGCAAACAGAGCATTAACAGAGACAAGAGATGCACCAAGTAATGTACTGTACTTACAAATTTGCCAAATATTGACCATCATTTCATACTTCCATGAAGTTGAATTCTGTAAAGTTCGTGATCTTTGATCTTATGATCTATAATTAATGATCTAGATATAATTTAAGAGTTCACACTTACATATTGCTTGATAATAATAGCAGGTATGGCATGCTGTCCCGGGAGAGAGGTCTGAGCTTGGAGATAATTGAGGCCAGGGCACCCGCCTGGTCAATAAGCATGTGAGGGAGTATGGGATCAGGAAGTTCTCGGGATCTCCCCCTGGTAAAGGAGGAAAGGAGGAGATGAGGTGGATGGGGTGATTCTTCAAAAAATGAAGATGAGGGAGTAATGCTATTCGGGCTATTTATAGTAAGATGGAATGATCAGATTGGCTGATTAATGATTACAAATAAGAGACCAGCCGCGATCAATCAAATCACATGCTCCTCCCGAAATTATTTTGTGAAACTTCACTTAAATATCTAGATAAAATGATTTACAATAACTACAGCTAAAGCATTCCTGCCAACACTTGTTTTTCTTGTGAGTCTCCTGTATTTCAGACCCATCTCCTGATCTCCTGCCACCCTCCCGTTTTGTTATTTCTTCAAGATTGGAGCATAATTAATAATATGACAATTACGAGCAGAATCTGAAATTTCATGACACATCATCTTGTTGCTTTCGAATTCTCTTCATCTCTCCTGACTGTTATTGGGCTGTGAAAATGAACATTACAGTGACATTTACAGCTAATGAAGCAATTAGAAACAGAAAGGCAAGTGCAAAGTACTTTTGCCATCCTCACCGTTACACTGCACCACATGACGCAAAAAGTGACGGCTCTTTCCTATTAAAATCCTCTAACACCTTGTTCCCAATCCCAGCTGGAGAGTGTTGTTCACGTGTCCCGCGGGCTACACACACTTTTTCCACAGCAGGACAAAATGTCAAGGGTATCATCTGTAGACTCTGTGCATAATGCTTAAAATCTGTCATTTTCGTAGCACAGAATGAGCAGTCCTGCATTTACACTAAATGTATTCCACGATCAGTAGTCGTATGCTATTTACTCCAGCTCTAGCTAGGAGAAAATACATATAGAAGTTTCTGAAGGTGAACGACAGGGCCATTTTTCCCCCCTCAGGACAGATTAGGCTAAATTGTGAACAAGATTACTCTGTCAGTGACGACTCCATATTGACAGCATGGTTCATTATAAATCGCTTGGTGTCTGAGAGTATTCAGTGAGAAAAGTTCAATTCCAAATCACTGATCAGGTGCAGTTTAGTTATGTAGGTCTGTTATACAAAGCTCTAAATAGCATTAGAATGTACTAACTGGAAAAAGCTTATCTAAAATATGTCATAATAATAACAACAATAACAATAACAATAACAATAATAATAATAACAATAATAATAATAATAATAATAATAATAACTGTAGTAGTACACAGAAAAAAGTGTTGCATGCAGAACTGTTGCAAACAATTTGTTTCCCTGCTAAAAAAATCCACCTTCAACCAGCCTAGGCTGGTTTAAGGTGGATTTTTCAGCAGGGTTGTGTTGAATTTAAACAAACAAATTAAGTTTAGTAATGTTCAACTTAATATGTTTATTTAAATTCAGCCCAAATAAATTGCTTACAAACTCTTAACGTAAAGAAATTGAGTAAATCCAGGAATTCATATTTGAATAATTTTTTTCAGTTTAGTAGTAGTAGTACTTATAATTTTCTTGGTACTTTTAGCACTCACTTCATTCCTTATCATATGACCAGCATCAGAGCTTCAATACAAGCTAAATGCTAAAAACATTAGCCACATGACCTAAACATGAAAAGTGTTGACAATACCATTAAGGAATGGTACTCTTATTATTGTTATATTCACAGAGTATCTAACGTGTATAAAAAAGTGCATCTGTCACACATTAAATCGTCATGTGAATTCTCATTCTCATGCTATGCTAATGTGCTAATCTTTTGTCCAGCGCCTGACCTCCCTTATATAAAACATAGTAATGTTTCATTCATTGGTTTCTCACAGAAATCTGTCTACTGACGAAAGGACTTCGTACAGCTCTCAAAGTATCTAATGTGTATGAAAAGTGTATCTGTTGAAAATTAAATCATCATGTAAATGTTCATGCTATGCTAATGTGCTAATAATTTATCCTTGTCCAGCGAGTGACCTCCCTTGTATAAAACAATATAGGTTTCATTCATCTGTTTCTCACAGAGATCCGTCAGCTGACGAAAGGACATTGTACGGCTTTCAAAGTATCTAATGTGTATGAAAATCTGTCAAATATTAAATCGCCATGTGTATACTCATTCTCATGTTATGCTAATGTGCTTATATTTCCGCGTTGTCCAGCGAGTAATTTATGTTGTATAAAATATTAATAATAATAATATGCGTTTCATTCATCTGTTTCTCACAGAGATCTGTCTGCTGACGAAAGGACGCCGTACAGCTAGCGTCCGTGCGGACACCTACTGCCGGCTTTTCTCTCTATCTGTTGACCATTTCAATGAAGTCCTGGAGGAGTATCCCATGATGCGCCGTGCTTTCGAGACTGTGGCTATTGACCGCTTGGACCGCATCGGTAAGACCAGAACCCCGTCCCCCGCCTATTATGTCAATCTAATGCCTGAACTTCATGTGTGTTTGTTGCATATTTGTCCTTTCCTTCATCGCACCGCAATCATCTACCATTGTGTTGCATGAAGTGTATACAGTCATGGTCAAAACCATTGGCACCCTTGGTAAATCTAAACCAAGATTGCTGTGAAAAAAAATCTGCTTTGTTTTTCCTTTTTATCTTTCATTTAAAAAATAAAATCACTGAAACATAAGTTGATGGATGCATTGTAAAATGCGGTTAGTTGACTTTACTTTTACTAAGTGAGTAAACCTGTTGCTCTCAAAGCGATTAGTTGACTTTACTTTAAAAAATTGAGTAAAAATGTAAAAAAATTATGAAGTAAATAAACTTTAATAAAATTAAGTTCAGTCAACTTAACAGTTCCAAGTTACAACAGGTTTATAACATTAAGTCAACCTGTCACCTTTAAGGAAGGTTTACTCACTTTTTGTCACTTTTAAGGCAGAACTTTAAGTAAAGTAAGTTTTTTTTCTGCATTACACATTGGGCAAAATTATTGGCACCTCAAAAAATGATTTTAAGTAAAATAGGTTTATTTCTATTTTTTTTTTTGTTTATTTATTTTTTTAGAAAGATTCCTTTCAAGGCCATGCAACATTTCTGGACATTTTTTGCTATTTCTGCAAAGAATTTTGTTAAAAATCTGTAAATTTATGCGGAATGATTTTGGAAGTATCATAACTAAAAACTTAATATATGAAATAAAAAATAACTTTTATGTAATGTTTACAATGCAAATCCAATTACATACACTTTATTTTGTAAACAAAGCAAGTCTCTCAAATATTATATCTACTAAAAGACAGAAAATATTATTTTACAAACTTGTAAATTGTTTATAATTCATATGAACATTTTCATATTAGTCAATAATAATACTGAATTAAATTAAAAACTGAATAAATATAAATTTATACACTTTTACACAACTAAATAAACAGAATCAATGATGGGCTAAAAATCAGCAGAAATCTGCGCACACAGATTTCGTGTGGGCCTAGTCATAGCAATGTTTCAAATGACTATAAATATGAATCTCAAAGACCAAATTTTGCTATTCTTCATCTCCATAATTAGTAAAAGCAAAGAGTCATTATTTAGCTTAAAAATGGCTGTAAGAAAATAGGTAAAGCTTTGAAAATGTCCATTTCCAAGATTAAAGATTAAGAAGTTCCAATCAAATAAAGATGTTGTGAATCTACCTAAAAGAGGTGTGTTTGTATTGTCTAGATGAACAGTGTGACAATTTGAGTAAAAAAAAAAAAAACATTTTCAAAGGAGAATATCAGAATTTAGAAACTGACAGATTCTTGGGGTCAAGAACTCTATAGAACATGGCTGAACCGAAGTGTAAAGAACACCAATGAAGACCAAAGAACCTGAAGGATCTGGAGAAACCAACGTAAAAAAATAGTTTACATGCTGAAAAACAGTGTTTCTCAACCACATTCCTGGAGGACCACCAACACTGCATGTTTTGGATGTCTTCTTTTTCTGTCACATACATTACAGATCTTTGAGTCTCTGCTAATGAGCTGATGATGTGAATGAGGTGTCCAGGATACATGGGCTGTTTCTCAATGCCAAGAACACAGAGAACAGACTAGTGTTCTTGTAGAGACCATTCTTATCACAATACCTCAGAAGAATGAATGTTTACTTTTATTATCTCATTCCAGGAAACTCCTGGGATAAATAAGTTATAAGTCTGAACTTCATTGACAAATCTATATAAAATGCTGTGCTTCCAACCTTCTTTATTCAGCAGCAATGACTTCTGGGACTTCTCGAGTGAGTTTTGTGCTCAAGTGTGCATCGATGCATCCTTGATATCAAGAACCCATCTGGGAACTTACACGCGTCTTCCGTTCTTGTCTTCTTGAGTTTTGGAACTGAAGTTTGACGATTGATGATGACGTTACACGAGAACACAAGTACGCAAGAACGTTGAAGAACGAATATTGAGAAACAGCCTTGGAAAATGTGCAGAGCTGATGGTCCTCCAGGAACGTGGTTGAGAAACACTGCTCTAAAAAATAACATTTGTTTGGCTTGTAATCATAGGGGAACCATTTGAAGTGCTACGTAGCACCTACTGTATATCTTTAATCACCCTAAAAAATTAAAGAACCAATACAGCACTTACAGTAAATTGGTTCTCCTATGATTACGTACTAAAAAAATCATTTATCAGCGCTAAATAGCACCTCAACTACCACAAAGTAGAGCTGAAGATCTGATTTTTGTGTGTGTGTTCAAGTGGTCCAAGTGTGTGTGGGTGTTCAATCTCTTGTTTTGGTTTCCTCCAATCACATCAACCATTTTAGCTATTACTGGGCGAATGAAGGCTGCAAAAAGCATTGAATATAAAGGGTGCCAATAAATTTGGTCAACGTATTTTGGAGAAAAAAAAAAAACTTTCATTATAGTTTTTTGAACAAAAATAAATAAATAAATAAACAATACAATTCAATTTTTTCAGAGCGCTCAAATTTACCAAGGGTGCCAATAATTTTGACCATGCCTGTATATGCTACCTTTTTCTTCTTCTCTTCTTCTTCTTCTTCTTCTTCTTCTTCTTCTTCTTCTTCTTCTTTTCTTTCTTTCTCCAAACGTCTGGTATGGATTAAAGCCATGACAAACTGTGAGAAGTCAGCTAAATGTAATTGAAGTGAGTGGTCTGTCAGTAAGCATGTAGTCGTGCGTGCCCGGGGCCGCTCACCCTGCTGGCTTTGGTTCAATGTCATCCCCAAACGGACGCATGGAGGGTGGACGGAGGCAAACCCTCACCAGCATGAGCCTCCGCTCCACTCCCCCACCCGCACACCTGGGTATGAGCAGCACCCCGTCCCGTCTTGTCCCTTGACCCAGGCAGCAGCAGAGCAACCCCTACTGCTGCACTGAAGGGCAAGGGCTTCAATGATTAGCTGTCAGGAGCAGTTCTTCACATGTTAGCGGAGCCCCTGCTTATTTCAAAAGGCTTCTGTTTCTTTACCTATTTTTCCCCTCAAAGCACAGAAATCATCATAATAATAATTAATCACTATTGTAACAGTCTTTGATTTATTTTATAGCATGTTTTGGCTGACTTTATAATAAGGACACTTTTTTAATTAGTTTTTAGTGCATTAAGTGTCATGAATTTTTTTTTTATTATTAAAGAGTAATTCTTGTAGTCTTTTACTCTTAGATTCTATTTTAGATTTTGAAAAAGTTTTAGTAATTTTGCTGCTTTGCTTTTGTAAATGTGTTTTAAAAATATATATAATATTTATATATATATATATATATATATATATATATATATATATATAT